GCAGTACGTAAGAGGTTCTGGGTTATTTACATACTTGTCTACTGTGGATGTTATTATTATTTTTAAAAAGCCCCAAACTTTGTTTACCCACTGCACTCATTCATTCAACAGATATATACATATATTGATTGCAAACCACATTCCAGGTTTTATTCTCAGTGCTTAGGATTAGTGAAAAAGAACAATCCCTATCCTCATGAAACTTTTATTCTAGGGTAGGAGACAAACATACATAATAAATGTATATAATAAAAGAGTAAACCATTTAGTAATTTAGAAAGCAATAAATGCCATAGGAAAAAAAATAACAGTGGGTGAGGGGATAGGAGTGAAGAGAGTACAGTTTTAGAGAAGTCCAGATAAGCTTAATTGAGAAGGTGACATTGAAACACTTGATTGAAGTGACAGATATTTTATTTAGAAATTTATCTTTATTGTTGAAAGCATCACAGATGTCCCCCATTTTTCTTCCCACTGACCCCCTTCTCCCACTCCTGCATCCTCTCCAGGCCTTCACCGAACTATTGCCTGTGCCCATGGGTTATGCGTATGTGCGTATAAATTCTCTGGTTATTCTCTCCTTACCCCTTTCCCTCTGAGAATCCTCAGTCTGTTGCATGCTTCCATGTCTCTAGATCAATTTTGTTTGTCAGTTTGTTTTGTTCATTAGATTCCACATGAGTGAAATCAGGTGGTACCAATGTTTCTGGCTTACTTCACTACACTCGTACACGGAGACACCCCCAGTTTTTTTTTAAGTATATTTATTGATTTTCAGAGAGAGAAGAAGGGAGATAGAGAGATAGAAACATCAATGAGAGAGAGAACATCGTTAATCAGCTGCATCCTGCACGCCCCTATTGGGGATCGAGCCCACAACCCAGGCATGCACCCTGACCAAGAATCAAACCCTGACCTGGTTTCCTGGGTCAATGCTCAACCACTGAGCCACACTGGCGGGGCCCATTTTTAATTTTTTTTTACCAAACTCTATACTGTTTTCCATAGTGGCTGCACCAGTTTGCATTCCCATCAGCAGTGTCCTAGTCTAGCGTTCCTTTTTCTCCACATCCTTGTCAGCACTTGTTTGTTGATTTATTGATGTAGCCATTCTGGCAGGTGTGAGGTGGTACTTCATTGTCATTTTAATTTGCATCTCTCTAATGATTAGTGACATTAGCCATTTTTTTATATGTCTCTTGGCCATTTGCTTGGAAGTGAGATATTTTAATTTGTAGTTTTATTCTTACTAAGGCTAACCATTCTTTCATATGTTCATTCTTAATATTTTGCCCATTTTTCTTTATTATCAGTTCTCTATATATCTGATTTCCCCCCTGAGCTATTACCTCTAAATACTTTTGTGTGTATTTCCTAAGAATAGGCATGTTCTTGTATGTTACCAAAGTTATCAATGCCAGTAAATTTGCATAATACTTTTAATTAATCTACTGTCAGCATCCCAATATTGTCAGTGGACCCAGTAATCTCCTTTATAACATTGTTTTCCTCCAAATTAAGATCCAGTCTAGATCAGATACTGCATTTAGTTGTCTTGTGTCTTTAGGCTCCTTTAATCTGGAACATTTCCACAGCTTTTATCTTTTACAACTTTGACATTTTAAGAGAATATTGTCTTAGTTCTTTCGAGCTGCTCTAACAAAATACCACAGACTGGTGGATTATAAACAACGGATATTTTTTCTCACAGCCTGGAAGCTAGAAATCCAAGGTCAGGGTGCCAGCACGGTGGGGTCTGGTGAAGGCCCTCTTTTGGGTTGCAGAATTCTTCACGGTGAACCTCACGCGGTGAAGGGATGAGGGGGCTCTGCCAGACCTCTTTTCTAAGGGCACTAGTCCCATTCCTGAGGACACTGCACTCCTGACCCAATCACCCCCAAAGGCCCCGCCTCCTAATACTATTACCTTGAGAGTTAGGTTTCTAATAGGGATTTGGGGGGACACAAACATTCAAATCATAGCAAATATGATTCCTCATTATGTTTATGAGAATGTCCCTGGGTGTCTCTGAAGTGTCTTTGTGGTTGAATTAGGAAATGCATTCTTGGCTGGAATACCATTTATATAATACATGTCCTGAGCAAATCCATAACCCCACAATGGTAATATTAATTTTCACCATCCAATAAAGCTGCTGTTCTGTTTATCCACGATTAAAAATAGTAACTCTTTTTTTCTTTAAAACAAACCATCTATGAAGAGACAATTTAAATTATGCAAACATCTGTTTCTCATCAAAATATCTCCCTGGATTTAGGATCAATTGATAATCCTTGCCTAATGAATCTTTGCAACAAAATGGTGATCTTTCAACTGTAGCACCCCCTCCCATGTTTTCTGGTTGGTATTCAGCATCTAGTTGGTACTGTAAGCAAGAATCTTCTCTTCTGCCCTATCTGTCTCTCCATCCCTTATCTATCTATCTATCTATCTATCTATCTATCTATCTATCTATCATTTTCGATCATTTATAATTCATTTAATGTATTATTTTGGTGTTCAAATTATCCCAGATTTGGGCTGCAGTTCAGCTTTTTAAATCTGCCTCCTGTGTCTTTCAGAGTCTCATCATTTTTTGGGAGCATTTCTTTACTTTCTGGTCTAGCAAGATATTCCATGCTCATTATAAACCTTCCCAGTCCTAGAATTCATTTATTTCTCTGAGGGTCCATGAGTCTTTACCGCATGGACTGTTATTAGTGACCAAGGTATGGACACTATGAATGCTCATTGCTACTGGGGTGCTTTGCTTTTAAGCCTTTCCAATGGACATTATTAGGAAATATATGGATGTATATACACATAAATATACACGCATATATCATACATACATTTTGTATTCATGTTTAAGTGTTTATATGTAAGAGGGAATATATTATAATTTCATATATATTAGAACTGACCTTCCCAGTTTATAATTTGCATTTGAATTTTTCTTATTTTGTTTATGATATTTTGAAATATAAGGTTTTGCTCTAATTTCTCATTTTCTTGATGTTTCTACTCTTGGTATTGATCTAAGATTCTACAAATATTCATATATTTTGGTCCTTTTCTTAAAAAATTTAAACCTTGAATTCACCTGTAATTTATTTTTGCACATAATGTAACATAACAAATATTATTATTTTTCCTGGCTATTTAGTAGGTTGTGTTAATAGTACTTATTAAGCACTAGAGGCCCAATACATGAAATTTGTGCAAGAATAGGCCTTCCTTTCCCCAGCTGCCGGCACCGGCTTCCCTTTGGCACCTGGGACCTGGGCTTCCCTCTGACCACTGGCAGGCACCAGGGACCTGGGCTTTCCTCCCAGCCCCAGCTGTGTCTGGAAGGTCATCCGGTCTAATTAGCATATTATGCTTTTATTATTATAGATAGGGAATATAATATAGTCTCATATGTATTAGAAGTGATCTTCCCCATTTATAATTTGCACCTCTAGGGAAGGCCCCTTTGAAATAAACTCATTGTAAGAAATTAGAGAAATCTGAGAAAATACCAATTTAAATATTTAGGACATCCATTTATCCAACTAATATTTATCTTTGAAATTGTTGATTTGACTCTGCTTCATCTACTGTACTGTTGATTCTCTGTAATGTAGTCTTCATTTCAGTTATTGTAATCTTCATTTCTTTTTCTTTTTTTTGTAATCTTCATTTCTGACTGGCCATTTTTTGTTTTCCATCTCCATTTTTATATTTTCTATCTCTTTGTTGAAGTTCTTGCTAAGTTAATCAACTCTTTCTCTTGGTCACTGAGCATTCTTTAACCAGTGTTTTGAACTCGGCATCCATAGGTTGCTTTGTCCATTTTATTTAATTATTTTTCTGGGGTTTTGATCTGTTCTTTCATTTGGAACGTGTTTCTTTGTCTCCTCATTTTGGCTGCCTCCCATTTTGCAGATGACAAAACAGAGGCTTAGAAAGCCCAACAGATTGCACAGATTGCAGCTGAAGGGCGTAAGGGAGGAGGAGTCTGGCTGTTGGGCTCTGGGATCCCTCCGCGCCCGCCGGCTCAGGCCCACCTGGGGGCTGCCTGCCCTCCCCACTTTTCTGCTCTGGGATCGCCATGGCGACCCAGGAGCAGGCCCTCCTGGCTGCTGCCTGCAAGCTGCACTTTCCTGCTCTGGTATTGCCACCATGACCCAGGAGCAGGCCTCCTGTGTGCTGCTTACAAATCATACTTTCCCTCTCACAGATTGCTGGATTGCCACAGCGACCCAGGGGCAAGCCCTGTTGGGTGCTGCCTGCGGGGGGCACTTG